CTATGAAAATAACCATTCGTACCGGATGAACATAATTCATACGGGACGATGATCGAGTACAAAGTAAAATTATACCAGTTCACTTTTAGTTTGTACACAGCAGTAGTTACATTGTTCGTCCGTACGAATTGAGATCGTACAAGATGATCAATAACGCACAAATTTGAATAATTGCAGTTTTTGATGGTTTTTTCTGTCTTTCATATAAAAAGTCCAAATAAGACTGTCTTGAAATCTTTTTGTCAATTAGTCTTCGTGCAAATTGAAGGGAGATTGAAGGAGAGTGTGAAAGAGAGTGTTTGAAGGAGAGAACTTACTACTGGAGCGTGAAGGATTCACTTGTTACTCAAAGGTAAGGATCTCAACTTTGTGATTACTTCACTCTTTTCTCTTGTCCTTTTAGATTTCTCTTGAGAAGATCTTTCAAGGAGATCCGGTTCTGTACCCACACTTGGATAGTGTGAATGGACGAAGGGTTCTCTTGTCACGACCCGACCCGACGGGGACGGATCCCGCCCGAGCCGGACCGCGACAAAACCTTCTTATCCAGGATCTGGCTTTGGAATTTGATTACTGAACTGAATCAAATCAGCTTTATAATACACAGATCGGCCCGGCCGATCGCCAGATCGTCCCAGGACGATCAGACCATTTTGGATCGTCCTGGACGGTTCCCAGAACTATTCTCAGGCCGATATTTTCTACAGTGCCGATCGGCCTGGACGATGTCCAAATCGGCCTGGACGATATGTACAGAAAATCACCTGGAGCAAAACTGGGCACATTCTGGAGCAGATTTACAACTGATCGTCCCAGGACGATCCAGATCATCCTGGACGATCCTGGAGCAGATTTTTGATATTACATCTCTGCCCATACTTGAAGAGTGTGAAAGGATGAAGGGTTCTCTGCCCACACTTGGAGAGTGTTAAAGGACGAAGAGTTCTCTGCCAACACTTTGAGAGTGTGAACATCTGACGGTTCTCTGCCGTACTGGGTAGTGGTGAAAGAGAGTTTTTGTGAAGGCTTCTCCGCCTTGCTGTGAGGGAAAAAAGAGAGACACTAGTGGTATTAGTGTAATACTCGGAGGGTACCTCCGGTGAGTGGATGTAGGTCGTGTTTGATCGAACCACTATAAATCTTTTGTCTTTTATTTTTTCGCTGCTTTTTACATTACTGTTATGTGTTTAATCTATGGTTGAAAAATCATTTTAAAAAAAATTTCATTAAAAATTGTTTTATATCAGTTTAAAATTTAAGAGGGAAAATTATTTTAAATAATCAATTCACCCCCTAATTTTTAAATTACAAATCCCCCCCCCCTCTTGGTTAGCCGCTAAGATATAAGCTTAGGTCTAACAACCTAATTCGTATTTAACAAGTTTCAACAAGGCTGACTCTGAGTAGCAGGCTGAGAAGAAGAGGTTCCCTCAAAATGTACAAGTGAACCTTTTGGACCAGCAATTACATTCTTGCTGTGCCTAGCTACCAAATATATTCTTTATCAATCCTCTCTGGTGGTCATCACTTCAAGTCATCTGCAAAAAAAAAAATTAAGAAATATTAGCAATATAAATTACAGTAACAATTGAATATAAAATATCACAGCAATTAAATAAATATAAGTACAATAAAAATTAAATATAAAAAATATTACTAATATTAATTGTTGATTCATATTTGATTGTTAAAAAAATATTTACCTTATGTTTATTTACTTTCATATGATGAAACTTCTATACCACTATTAGATTCCTCATGACTTTTCTCTATGTTTAAATCTACTTTCTTTAACTATAACTCACTCTCAGTAGTTATAAGTTAATCGTCCATATGGTTAGCAAGATATAAGTTTGACTTAAACTCTTCTTGATGTACTGGTGGTATTGATGTAGTCTTCTCAACAACTCTCCTAGATTTGGTCTTCATAACAACGAGCCAATCTTATTTGTCTCGTACTCTACTCAGATAGTTAGTAAAATATACATGATTTTTCTACCTAGCAATGATGAATGATCAAACTTTGAATATCTCCTACCCCGCTTAACTTCTATAATACCGTAAAATAGATTTATTCTTATACCTCTATTCTGTATTTGATCAAACCACTCACAATTGAATAAATAAATATTATTTTCATGACAAGGATATTCTAACTGTAATATTTCCAGTAATACCCCGTAGTACTCAGAATCATCACCTGTATGTGTATTACATGTACACCAGAATTCTATGTTTTCTTATCTACACACCAAAATTTTGCTTGGAATTTGTAACCATTAACCAAAAAAATACAAAGAGTCTTAGCCTGCTCGGAAGGCCATTATTTTAAGTGACCAAATCATCCAAGGCGACTCTCTCTAATCTTATCTTCCATTGGAGCTACTCCAACCTTCTCACATATATGTTATTTTCATATCATGTATATAATCAAGTATGCTCAATGCATTCCTCTACGTCCACATAACAATGCCCAATGCATTTCTCTACATCCACATAACAATGCCCAATACATTTTACTCAACATCATGAGATGTATATTTTCCTATTATTTTTATTAATATATATAATTTTTATATATAAATATTTATTTAAAAAATAGCAAGAAAACTATCCCAAATAAAATTTAAATTGTAACAATAACTATTGCTAACCGGGTCAAATATAGTACATCTACTTTCCTAACCAGGTCATTAAAGGCCGCCTTTTTATATGACTAAACCATCTAAGGTGATTTTATCTAATCTTATCTTCCACTAAAGCTACTCGAATCTTTTCATGTATATGATCATTTCATATATTGTCTCTTAGAGTAGAGACACTCATCCACCTGAGCATCATCATCTCTGGAACACTTAACTTCATATTATGCTTCTCTTTTTTATGTCCAACATTATACATCATAAAGCATTGCAGGTCTAACCACTATCTTATAGAATTTCCCCTTAAAAGCTTTTATGTCCTCCACTTCAACCATCCAACTTGAATTCTACTAATAATATCCCCATCTATTTCACCATCACTCTTAATAACATGTATTTTTATTAATGACTTGATCACCCAAAATCACAATCCCCTCACTAAAATTATACTCCAAATATTCAGTTTTAAATCTACTCAAATGAAAGCCTTTAGACTCTAAAGTTGACCTACATAATTCAAGTTTACCTTCAACTCCCTCTCTACTTTCTAAAAATTACACTAAAAAATGTATAAACTAATATACCTTCTCTTATAAATGTATAGTAAGAACATTCAAACTCAAGGTGATGAGATAATACCTTCTCTAACCGGTGGAGTTCGGGGATGCTATTGAAGAAAGTCGGCGAGGGTCTGGTCGGGGCAACTCTTGGACGTGGGAAAGAAGTGCTCACCAGTTGATCGCCGGGGCAACTCTCGAACTTGAGCGAAGAGAGGGCGATCTCACGGTGTCTTGGACTTAAGCGAGGAGACGGTGATCTCGCGGCGTCGGCGTAGCTCTTGGACGAGCAACACGACACGAGAGATAAAGAAAGAAATGAGAAGTCGTTCGGCGGATTCACTAAAATAGGGCTTTAACTGGTACATTTTTCGGCGTATTAGTTGTCGGTAACACAACCGGTGGATAATACGCTGGTACTGATTCGTCGAGTTTAAGTAAGCCGGTGCAATATGCGCCAGTAATTCCGCTAGTCATTATCGACAGAATATGTGTTGGACACCTAAGAAATGCCTGCAGAAAGCCGGTGGAATTCGCGCCAGTACTTTTGCGGCAGATATTGCACCAGATAATGCGCCGTTAAATTACCGGCACATATTCCGCCGGTACGTGTGCCGGTGTTACCGGCGTAAAACGTTCTGCCGGAAAGTCCAACAGTAATGGTGCATTTTCCTGTAGTGAAGGTACATGCACAAATAGTCATATGTGTACTACTTGAGTTACGTTCTCTATCATCTGTTCACTATTGATGTTACCAACAAAGAGGTTTTCAATAGCATCAACATTGAGTTTTTGTTCATCTCTTAGGATTCGTTTGGGAAGACTTTTTTATTGTTTTTTTTTTAAATAGAGTTTTAGTAAAAAAATTAAAATGTTTGTATAACGTCATGACATATTCACAGTCACATTTTCCTGTTCATTGCTCAACTAGTTTTACATGCTAATTTTAACTTCATTTGCCTGCACATGTATCTTTGATGCCTTAACCTTCTCTTCCTCATGCCCTTTTTCGCTGTTCTTCCGATCATTTCATAAGTGATTTAATATATCACCCAATATTTAAAAAATAAATAAATAAATAAAATATTACCCAATATTTATATATGATTGAACATGTTTAAATAGAGAAGTTAGACCATTCCTCAATAAACGAGTTAAAATAACAGTCTTTAATGTTTATAAATGATTAAATGAATTGACATCTAAATATTTATTTTGCTGTTTTAAAATTTATTAAGCTTATTATAATAAAATTTGTCATATTCAAGCGATCAATGAAAAATAATAAGCAAACGCTTCTTAATATGAACAGTATCATACTGTCACATTGAAGTAATCAATAAACACTACTGGAATACAAAGAAAGGTTATTCTTAGTTATAAATTTTTCATCAGCATTTTTTGTAATCCTATCTACATTTAAGCTCTCGCAAAAAAAGTCTTAAATAATAATATTTATTTATTCATATAAAATTTTATTTTGAATAATTTTCTTATTATTTTCTACGTAGTTTTTCTTACTGCTTCCAACTATATAATATATAAAGATAGATTATGGTACTTTTAATAGTAATAATAAGGGAAATTTACATACATACCACTTTATAACATCTTATTTACATATCTAATATTCAAAACTTTAATATTACATGCATACCACCCTATATTATTTTAATATCAAATATATCACTCATATTTCTTTCCTACCACTCATATATTTCATTTCCTACCACTCATAATAATAATAATGAATATTTTAAAAACAAAAAGATATATTTGAAGTGTTAAAATAAAAAAATCTCTTTCAACTGTGCGCGTATACAAACCCTACAAGCAATCAAGCATACAACCGGACAACACTTAAGATCTATGGTAGTAAATAAACTATTCACAGCATCATAAGCTTAAACTCGTCGAAACAAATGACCCCATCCCCGTTGAGATCAAATCTCCTTATCATAACCCTGCATTCATCCACGCTCTTCTCCTCTCCCAGCCGCCGCAGCCCACGCCGGAGGCTTCCCGCCGTGATGCAGCCCTTGCCATCCATCTCGTAGGCTGAAAAGGCTTCCTTGATAGTCGTCTCTCTGTCCTCCTCTTCTTCCATATCCACGAGCTTAACAAAGTCATCATATCCCAGCACACCGTCTCCGTCAGAATCCGACGACTCGACGATAGCTTCAGCCTCCGCCGGCGATATTTCCTCCCCGACGCTATGCAAGCAGCTGCACAGTTCAGCAGCCGAGATCTTACCGTCGCCATCTTCGTCGAAGTAGCAGAATACCCTCTCTAAGTCCTTCCCTGGTAATGTTACCGTCAGCCTTGATTCCGGTAAAGAAGATAAACATGGCTTTTTGGCCTTCTTGTGGGAGATTATGCCGTTGATTCTGGTTAATAAAGACTTGCAGCTTCCGCTGCCGCTAGAGCCAGTGTTGAGCTTCGACATGATAACAGACATCGTCAAGTTTTGTTGCTTCAACAGCAAGATAATAAGCCGATATCAGTTGGAAGATCTAATTAGTTTGGTGGTGTGAATCAACTTTGATGGGATTGTGGACAGTTGGAGTTGGTGTCCATTTATAGATTTCGGAAGTCGGTTGGAACAGAGAGAGAGAGAGAGAGAGAGACGGTTCTTCTGGGAAATTTCTATGGGCGGTATCTTTTACAGAGAAGGGTCAGCAAATCCAGCGCATAAGACGCTAAACACATTTCTTAGCTTTCAAGTTGAGCTAAGTATTTTAAAAAAAAAAGTGGAGCCCACTCATAAAGATCGTAGGTTCGTGGCATCACGCGGCAAACGCGATAATTAATTTCAACTGTTATTGTCAGACGTATTGGGTCTGTGGCTGTTTGTTTGCGCGTCTACTTATCGGTGCCATGGCGGCAGGTGATGTGGCGATCTTTGCGAGGATAAGTATTATCTTGTATTTATTTATTTTGATTTGAGATTATTTAATTTATTTGATTTAATAATTTATATTATTTAATCTGGGACAAGATATTCTCACCTTAATTTGATAATAATAAATTTTATTAACATTTAATTGACATGAACTTATATAAAATCTAAAACTGAATTAATTGATGATAAGACATGTATTTTACCTGCTATCATGATGCCATAAAAAACTATTTGTGTTTGTTCAGTATTTTCTCTTGTACTTAATGTCCCAATTGAGAGTTTTAAATAGAAGATAAATTGTATCTAATAGAGATAGTAGCAGTTGTTTATACATGAAGGGCTGTGATTAATCAAGAAAAGAGGTAATGCCGTTTGCATTGCTAGAGGTAGTGCAGCAGGAAAAGTAATGGCAGCATAAGGAATAATTATAATTTGGGCAGGCACATGTTATGCAGCTTTAACAAGCCCCTGCAAGTTGACGGTTCGGTCACAAAGTATCAATTTGGATCCAACAGAAAGGAATTTGGTTGGAGATGGAGACTTCGTAAAGACATTTACAATTTGATCATGAGAAGGGATAATGATGACGCACAAATGGTTGTGATTTGATAACACTCACGAATAAAATAATGATCAATTTTAATGAGTTAGTTGAGTATGAAAAACATGATTATGAAAATGCGAAACAACTGAAATATTGTCGCAACAGAGAGGTGTAGGAGCAGCAACTAAGACAATAAAATCATGAAGCAGACGACATATCCAAATGATATCTATTGCTGGAGATGAGAGCGATCGATGTTCAGCCTCAGTAGAGGTTCAAGCAAATGTTGCTTGCTTTTTAGTAGACCATGAAGCAAGTTTGTTGCCAAAAAAGATCCAGTACCATGTTGTAGATTTGTGATCAATATAATCCCAAGTCCAATCCAAAATTAGCAGAAGAGAAGCTGAAGATTGACAGGTTGAATAGGTAATTCAAATGTTAAGGTACCCTGGATATAACGTAGAGTGCACTTAAGCATATGGAAATGAATTTGTTGTGGTGAATGAATGTACTAACACAATTTGTTTAGAACAAAGGAGATATGTAGCCTAGTGATAATAAGGTATTGCAATAAGCCAATCAGCATGCAATATAGCTTAGGATCCTGAAATTTATTTGAGGCATTGGAAATGATAGGAGGTTTAAGTGTAATATGTGTTGTGACTAATTTGCATTCAGCCATATATATCTTGAAGAGAATTTCCTCACCATAACTAGCTTGATGTAGTATAAAATCCAATAGGTGATTCTTGCAAATGAATGCTAAGGAATTGAGAGGGCTTGCCAAGCTATTCAAGTTGAAAGCTACTATGAAGATCACGAAAAAAGAGTACTTAAGATTTAATCATGATGATTTCCAGCTACAAAAATAACATCAACATCTATAAGCAAGTAAATATAGATATCCTAATCTCTATAAAGAAAGAGGGAAGGAACAGTAGCAGTAGATTGAAATGCCAACGTAAGAGATTATCAGTAAAGGTAGAGAACTATATATGAGGCACTTTCTTAAGCCTATACAAGGCCTTATTCAAAAGACATATGAGAAGGATAATTTGAGTCCTAAAATCTCGGAGCCTGCATCATATTGACAGTTCCAGAGGGGTCCCATATAAAAAAAGTATTAGAGGCATCTAATGGATGAATTTACTGGTGAACATGCGTAGAGCAAAAGGAAAATTTTGATAGTAATCATTTTAGCAACAAGACTGAATGTGTCATTGAAATCAATGCCATATTCCCATGTATGACTTTGAGCCACTAATTTAGCCTTATAATGGAAAATAGAGCCATCAAGATGGTGTTGTATTTTAAATAGCCATTTCTAACTAAGTATATTTTAATCAAATGGTAGACAAGTTCGCCGCCAAGTTCCTTGAGTTTGAAGAACTTGAAACTCTTCTAACATTTCCCGATATCAGTGAGAAACCTGAACTGCAGCAGAGTAATATGAAAGATTCGAGAGGGAGGACATGTAGTGGTGCAAATTAAGAATGGTATGGGGTTTAAAATTAAATGCCTAGTTTCAAATGTCACTACAGGAAAACCCGTTAATACCTGCGGACAACATCCGCCGGTAAACATAGATAATCCGACGGAATAATGAGTTTCCGTCGGACTTTACGGCGGAATTTCATACGCCGGTTTCGGCCGCGTCGATAAATTATTTCCGGCGCAAAATTTGCGCCGGAAATTTCTCCGGCGCATGATCCGACGCATTACCAGCGGAAAAATGGACCGTTTTCGACGTTGAAAAACGTCTTAATTCCGGCTCCATTGCCGCCGGTAATTATCGTCGCATTATGCGCCGGCCTGTACCGGCGGATATGACGCCGCAAAGTGCATACACCCTAGAAGAATAAAAGTCGGTGATGTAGCGCTTCATCACAACGCATAGCGCATAAATCAACATCGCAATATTGGCGTCTTGAGAAGTTGAGTGCCAAAGTTTTGAACTTCACAACATCGTAGCGCAAAATTAAACATAACATACATGATTACACTTTAAGTTATATTCCTCAAACCAATATTATACCATAAGATAAATGATAAAAATTTTCTCTTATAAATTTAATGGTATTATGTTACTAGCTATTTTCTTAAAAAACTTTTTATATTATTATTAATATTATTATTTTTCTCCCAGCTTGTAAAAGGAACTTGATTTTGCCCCTGAGATATTGAGAGAGTTTTGATGAAGGAGATGGATGGTTTGATGAAGAGATTGTAATGCTTGCACTTATGTGTCGTTCATCGAGATTGATCGTAGCTATGAGGAGGCCCAGTCAACATTCTTACGCTGTTAGAGTATACTCTCAGCACATTCTACTTATCATGTTCCACTATTTGTCAATGTCAGCATATACTCCACTTCCCTGTTATTCTCTGTCTACTGCGGCTAATACAGGCTTTAGCCGTTATACACAGATTGTATTAGGCATTTATATTTGCCTTTATTTTCGCTGGAATGGAACAAGAACGATGGCCATTTTTCTCCTCTAAAACTGTTTTCTTCTTCTAGTTTGCTTGGCTTGATTTCTTCTTGCAGGTCTGTGAGGTGAAGCTCAACATGGTATCAGAGCTTTAGGTATCCGCCGTCAATGGCTTCGCAAGGATCTTCCGCCTCAGCTTCAGCCGCAGCGACTTCGTCGTCTTTGTCCGCAGCGATGACTGAGTTTACCGTGCCTTCTTCCTTAAAATTTCTTATGAGTAATTTGAAGCACATTGTTTCTACTTCCCTTACAAATGAGAACTATCCCATTTGGCGTCTTCAAGTATTCAAGCTCTTTTCTGCAAACGGATTTGAAGGGTTTTTGACGGGAAGCATCACCGCTCCGTCCATTTCTTCCGCTGATTCAAACTCAGATGATCTTCGTCTCTGGAAACAGGTTGATCAAAATCTTGTTTCCGCCTTATTGTCTACTATTTCTGCATCGGTTCTTCCGTATATCATCTCACTGTCTACCGCACATGAGATTTGGGTAACTTTAGAGAAACGATTGCAGCCCACCAATCGTTCACGGGTGATTCAGCTTAAAAACGAATTGCATCATATTCAAATGAAGGATCTTACTATGACACAGTATCTTGCCCAAGTCAAAACTCTTGTGGACAACATATCCTCTTCCGGTGGGCACATTGACGTTGAAGATGTTATACTCCATACATTGAATGGTTTGCCTTCTATTTACAATCCATTCAAATCAGGGATTAGAATAATCCAGCAAACTATTACTCTTGATGCCCTGTATTCGCTCTTGATTAGTGAAGAAATAAATTTACAAAATGAGCAGCACAAGGAGCTTCCGACTCCTTCAGATCATACGGCATTATGGGCGCCGCGTTCAAATACAGCTCGTGGAAGATCTTCTACTAGAGGACGTGGCCGTGGAGCTTCCTTCAGACCAAATGTATCAAGTTCGAATGTCTCTGCTCCAGCCAACTACAACAGCAACCGTCCGAATGTCTCTGCTCTGCCTGTACCAGCTGGTTACCGTCCGACTTGTCAAATTTGTGGAAAACCTGGACACATTGCCTTGAATTGCTGGCACCGTTGCAATATGCAATATGCACCTACCAATTCAACTGGAAATCCACGAGCGTATCTTACTAATTCAAACAACAGTGTGTCTTCACCAATTTCTGAATGGGTACTCGATTCCGGAGCTACCTCACATTTGACGCCAGATGCCACACAGCTTCAACAGCCCACACCTTATTTTGGATCGGACACTGTTTCGGTTGCCAGTGGGAACACAATGCCAATTCAGAATACTGGGCAAGGAATTTTACCGTTGCCGGACACGAACCGTAAGCTCCGCCTTAAAAATCTTTTACATGTTCCACTTCTTTCTCATAATCTTCTTTCCATTCACAAACTAACCTCTGATAACAATTGTTCTATATTGTTTGATGCTCATGGTTTTCTCATTAAGGATCTCTCGGACAATAGTATTCTTCTCCATGGTCGCTCGCGAGATGGCCTTTATCCAATTCCACATGTCTCCACTGCTACTTCTCAAGCCTTGCATTCTTCGGTCAGCTCTGTCCAGCCGTGGCATACAAGGCTTGGTCATCCCAATCATAGGATTTTGCAATGTCTTTCTAAGTTAGTTCCCTCTATATGTACTTCCTCTTCTAGTTCTATGTGTATTTCTTGTAATGTGGCCAA